CCCCAAAGCCCCAGTAGATAGTTGTATGTCATAGTTGCACATCCTTCTAGTTGCTGTATGTGGGACGCGGCCTCAGCATGGCCGGAGAAGCGATGTGTTGGTGCGCGCCCGGGATCCGAACCCGGGCCGCCAGCAGCAGACCGCTGCGCACTTAACCGCTAAGCCACCGGGCCGCCCCAATAAAGTCTTAATAAATATTTGCTAAATTGAATTGGAGGTAGACATACTTAGTGTAGTTAGTTTACCAAAATAGAAATATTTTAATAATTATATATCTTAATTATTCTGCTTTTAGCTTTGGATTGTTATGTTGGTCTTTATTGAACACTTTTGCAAAATGTATGAAAAGCTAAACATTTATGCTTGTCCACATTACTAAAGGGAAGATGTAAGGCAGTATGAGATAATTAATTTTCATTACAATTTTTGGTCCTGATTTTACTTCCACATCTCCTTCCCTAATAGAAAACTTAAACCAGACTTATCCAGTTGATTCTTTGCCTATATTGGCATGTGTTAGTCTCAGACTGGGTTGGAATATAGTGCTCATTAAGTTTTTTGTTTGTTTTGCTGAGGAAGATTAGCCCTGAGCTAACATCTTTCCCGTCTTCCTCTATTTTGTATGTGAGTTGCCACCACAGCATAGCTGACTAGTGGTTTAGCTCCGCGCCCAGGATCTGAACCCAAGAACTCAGGCTGCTGAAGCAGAGCACACCGAACTTAACCTCTATGCCACGGGGCTAGCCCTGTCATTAAGATTTTTTTATAAGAGGCCCTGACCTAATTTGTCCCTTTTATAATGTGAACATCTGACAGATGGTTACACTTGCTTGGGAGAGGAAGAAATAAAAATTTTCCTTTACACTGTGTTTCCCCACCACCTCTTGCTTGAAATGTGGTAAGTGAACGAGAGTTGGGGATAAGTGAGTATTACTTTAAGCCTTTTCTGATCCCATGGCAATGTGATTCAGAATGTTTGAACTGAGTACTCTTAGAACAGGGAGAGCATCTGCAAGTTTATGACTGGGATTTAATTTGTGTGGCTGACCGATCTTAGCATCTACTTTAGAAACCTCATTGAAACTCTTTAGAAGCAAAGAATTTTATCCTTTCGGAGGACACAGCCAGAATCTGTTCCCTCCAGGAATGTGAGAGAACCTCGCAAGATGTCCTGCTGGATCTTAATCGATCTTTCCTGCTGGCTAATTAAGCATCACTTTTACTCAGCAACTGGGGACTGTGTAATTATCAGCCTGGGTTGCCCTGAGTAATTGAAACAAACAGAATGCACAAGATGGGAGCTTTTTGCAAAAGTGAGAATATCTATAATTTTTGGTAGGCTGGAAGAGTGTTTAAAACAAACTTCCCCACAATATTACTTTATTAGTAGATACATTTTAGGCTTAGTTGTGTACCTGAAGGCTTAGTTAGTGACCCATAGAATTTTTTATTTTTTATAATGCAAAGTTGGCCTTTGTATTATAAGATTATTCTAAGGATGGCATGAGGAATAAAGGTGGAATTATTTTGAATTGTATTATAGGGAGAAGGATGCCCAAAATATAACTGTATATATGGTGGTGCTATTAGTATAAGTCTGTGATTAAGAATGAAAAACAATTTTACTGCATGTGTAGGGACAAACATACAATGAGTAGAAATTCTCCTTTCCCATATTTGTACGACAGCATTTGGAAAGGGCTAAATTTCAATTTGAAATTTGTAAGAGAGAAAAAAAAAGGTGATTTTGGGGCCAGCCCAGTGGCATAGTGGCTGAGTTCATGTGCTCCACTTCAGCGGCCCAGGGTTCACAGTTTCGAATCCCGGGTGGGGACCTACACACTGCTCACCAAGCCATGCTGTGGCGGCATCCCACATACAAAATAGAGGAAGATGGGCACACATGTTAGCTCAGGGCTAATCTTCCTCAGCAAAAAGAGGAAGATTGGCGATGGATGTTAGATCAGGGCCAATTTTCCTCACCAAAAACAAAACAAGACAAAACAAAAAAAGGTGATTTTGTGGTGACTCATTGTTATCAGTTGCATATTACTTCTTAGTCCTCTTTTTAAATGCATGCAGACACACTCGCACACATGCACACACATACGCACCCATGCACGCACTCATAGAAACTGTATTTGTTATGGGATAGAGAGGGTTCCTTGTTCTCAAAGAACTTGCTGTGTGGTTTGTGGGATAGACATTCAGGAAATAATCAGCAGGAGCTTTAGGAAACATCTGCATTGTTGATGGAAGCTTTCTGTTCATTGATTTGTTGCAAGAAAGATGACACTTTATACTTTATTTAGAATTTCATAATTATCAGATCACGGAGGAAATGAGGAGCCAGAAATTAGATACTGTATAAGAAAATGGAAAAATGAGGCTTTCCTTTGGCAAGCTGTTTGAAATTGCCTTATATCCACTCATTCAATCATCATCCTGTTAATGTAACCCCTGTTTTACTGAAACCTCTTCTTCAGCCATATTGCCTCTATAGTCCCATTTATGGCCGGTCAATGTCATGCATTTATATATATTGATACCATTGTTTTGAAATTGCTGAAAGCTTGTGCAATGCCAGCCATATTTACTTTTGTTGTGGGGCAGTTGTATCTTCCCCAAAAACTGGGTGTGAAAAGAAATTTGGAAGTCATCAAACTTGAGAATTAAATGCATATGGCGGGCCGGCCCTGTGGCTTAGCGGTTGAGTGCGTGCTCTCTGATGCTGGCGGCCCGGTTTCGGATCCCGGGCGCGCACCGACGCACCGCTTCTCCGGCCACGCTGGGGTCGCGTCCCACATACGGCAACTGGAGGGCTGTGCAACTATGACATACAACTATCTACTGGGGCTTTGGGGCGAAAATAAATAAATAAAAAAATCTAAAAAAAAATGCATATGGCAAGTTGCCGAGTAACATGAAAAGAATTATTGGAAGTCATTTAAAAGTTTTATCTTTAGTTATATTAAAGCTATAATATTTTAGGAGGGTGGTAAATTGGGGGGGTAGGAAGCTATCTAAAACTATAATTTGGCACATCAGGGCTTATTTGGAAGGTAGGTAAGATATCTCTAGCAGGGTAATCTGGGAAATCCACTAGATAAATATAAATACTATGTGTATTTTTTCCTCTCCACAACTTTCCACTCTATCTTTGTTTTGTCCTTGCTTTACTTCCTTGGATTCTTTCCTCAACTTGTGCTGCTCGAGAATGAAAAGAGTGGAGAGAGGGGAAAAGATTACTGCATCTGACTCTTGGTAAACTCTAGGGGCTTGGCCCTAATTTTTATGGTGGCTCAGAATTCAGTGGACACAGATGTGGACTTGCTGTGAATTAAAGCGTCTGGCTCCATCACAGCTGTTATAATGTGCCATTTGCCACCTTTCTGTAGTCTGGAGTGACTGACCCCAGGAAATGAGAGCTGCGTCGAGTCATGGATGCTGTCCACATGCTCATCTGTTTTTTAGTGCAAGTAGCTTAGCATTTCTCTCTCCTTCCAGACTTAAAAACAAAAAATAAAATCGTGTCTGTCTCTCTGTCTTCATACTAGTTTTTTTGGCTTAAAAGATAACGTTTTCCACGTAAGACAAAGTAAAAAATGGATGGCAATTTCTGTGATTCCAAGGAAATGAAGCCCTGGTGTGGTAGTTGATGTCCTGAGCGGTGATGTTCATTGCTCGTCTTCAAACTGCCTCCTCATTTAAACCTTCTCTTTAAAAACTAATAGCTTTCACATTCCGAGTCCAAGTTTTCATTGAGCGCTGTAGAGAATGGTTAGGATGGAAGCCAGACAGAGGCTCCTCCTGTTTTATTACGGTGGTCACTGCAGGATCCGCGCCAGATGTGAGACACCTGGAATGCAGCAGACATGATCTACGCTCCCATGCTTGATGGCATTCTTATGCATTTGGGGAAACAGTCAAGAATTTCTTAAAAGTTTGATTCAGGGGAGGCCATCTGAAGCAGGAATATGTTGAGAGTGGGTGAAGGGATGAAGAAGATAGAATATTTTTATTACTGAGGTAGAGATATATTCTCTCTACATGGCCCGTTTTGGAACAACTAGTCATTTATGCTCACTGTTGGAAGTGAAGGCGAGAGCCAATGGAAACAAACTTGGAGTATTGTTTCCTTCTGTGAAACTTAAAGGAGTTCCAGAAAGAGACAGGGAGATTGATAGCACATTGAAATGGAAAGAAATAAAGAAATAACTTTATGTAACAGGATTACAGCACAAAACCCACAAAACCCAGGCCGTTTAAATTACAGGCTGAAAGAGTATCTTGAACATGTCTCATTGTGGGTGGCTAGCACATAGCTCTGCATGAAATATGATACATTAGTACAAATATTGTAAAAATATTTCCAGTTTTCTTTGGGAACTTCAAGTTTTTCTTTTCAGCTTAACATGGATTTAGCTTTGAGACAGGATTTAGCTTAAGAATATATCATTCTGATGTCTTTGTATTCTAGGAAGAAAGACAAGGAGTTAGTCTGATACAACTCTTGGGAGCAAGAGTTTCAAAGTAGTATACTGTAAATATCATTACCATTAATTACATAGAGAGTTTTAATTTTCCTAAGTGCTGGTTATTGGGCTTAAAAACCCCAAAACAAAACACACTCAATGAAG